GTACTAATGATGAAGTTTTTACATCATTTATAATGCGTTTAATCGTATTGTATGATATAACAAACACGCGTTTGATAACCGTACTAACTCCTTGTATTGGAAAGTTCGCCGGGCATTTCCTCCACGAGTTATATAACTTTGCAAGTAGCCCATATAGATTGGTTGACTATGATCTTAATGTACGCTACGCTCATGGTAGATATTTCTCTCAATATCCCATGCTGAATTCTGAATACTCTGAATTAAACGATGAAGATATAGTTGAGCAACCAATATCCGTTACATCACCAGATCATAGGGATGAACCGAATGTAGCGAATACGGATGATGAAGATAACGAAAATTCCCCTTTAATTGTTATGTCGCCGTCACATACACTTGTTCCGTCAGAAGTTATTGAAATTAATTCTGCTTCTGGGGAATCTGGTGTTCAAGTTATAAAAATTGATACTGAACCTTCTGCAGAAACAGAAAGGGATCAGCCGTTCCAGCCCAATCATCAACCAAACGGTCCAAGTATGACACGGCTGAATGAGAGTCAAATAAATACTGTAGAGAACATCATTAAAAATAGTTCGTCAGACGATGAAGCAATCGAAATTAATACCCGTGGTACGCAAACTACGGGTACAAAACCAGCAGTTGTTATGAATAAGAGGAAAAGAAAAATTGAAAAACCCAAGCTTGAGAAAAGAAAAAAGTATGGTGATGAATTTTGAAGTGAGGTTCGACTTGGAAGCAGAACTCGATCAAGTTCAGAGTCTTCATTTACCGACGCAAACTAAATTAAATTAATATCTCCAACGTTCGATCGTAAAAAAAAAAATATTGCGTACATTTATTTTGATATCGTTTAGTTTAGACATTAGTTGAATTTATAATTGTTTACATAAATTCATAAACTGTATAATTACCTAATGTTTTTTTTCTTTAATATAAAAATACATAAAACATATTTTTGTTTGTTTTTTTTTTGTTATTTATTTTAATTTTTAGTGATTACGATCAAAATTAATTCATTAATTTCTATTAATATTTCTATACCATATTGATCATATTAACTCGTGTACACACCTATTTGTTATATATAATTAAGATTATTCCGAGTAATTCAGTTAATACTAAAAATGTTCAATTTTAAAATACAGAATATTTATCGCGCAGCCTCGTGTTCTTTCTCTAACAGATGCATATTCTCTTCTTTAATGGAGATTGTCTTTGACAAATAATCTATTTTTCATTTTTTTCGTATTTATTTCTTCCAATTCTAATTTTTGTTTTCCCACAGATTTTGTTACGTATACAGACGAGAGAGGGTAACGAGAAATAGACATTTCTCTTATTGTATACGGAGACATTTTATTGGTTATGTTAGATCTTTTCCTTAGAATCTGGGGAATAACATTGTTAGTTTTGATCAATCCAGTGTCCTCGATATTTACTTCCTTCGAGATGGTGGGGAAACTAGTCCCGGATCTAGAGAAAAACGTTTCGCCCGCTTTAATATAACATTTTTATATTATTGTAATGTTTTCGTTGTTTGCTTCGTCCTCCACGACTTTTATACAGTTTATAGGTAAACAGTTAAAACTGTACGCAGAAAGAGTATATTTTATGATCTTATCTCTCTGTTCTCTATTATCGGATAATTTAATTTGTATTCCAGTTCATATTTTTCACATTCGAATTGCCCCAATAGCTATTCAGTAAACTGTCTGTCAATTTTGTCCACATTTTAGCAATCGACAATGAATAAAACGATGTCGAAAAAAATGAGACCAAAAGTGTATACTTCTTAAAAGGCTCTTTTAAAAATGTTTTTATAAATATTTACAACACCAGAGAAAAACTTAAAGAAGAAGGATACGTTTTAATTCCGTTTAACGAAATGGTATTAATAGTCCTCCCGACAGAAGAAACTATTATAACATTTAATACTAATGGAGTTACTACATTTAATGGTAATTCGTTCTCAAAGGTGGAAAATGTTCAATATTTTTAGGAAGTATTGAGAGATATGGATGATTTACCTTTTAATCAAAACGACAATGTAAGAAATAAATGGCTATGTTAAGGTTACACAGTGTCGGCGTTTGGAAGAAATACCGGACAAATCGGAATTGGTCATAATTAGAATAAAACAAAAACGTCATAGAAACAAAGTTCATTACATATTGCAGTTTGATAACCTGGATTCATTGTATGTGTCAAATTTCTGGTTGGAGAAAGAAATGTCAGATGTTAATATAGATTTAAATTATAAGATAAAAATTAAGATAAATAGAATTAAAACTACTCCTAGTAAAAATAAATAAAGGCAGGTTTTTTGTGTGTAATATTGTTGTATAATATATGTACAAATATTTTGTATTGTTAAAAATAATAAATAAGTATTTACCTATATAAATGTTGTCTTTTTATTTTAGAAAAAAAAAACCCCTTCCATTAAGGTTATATAAATGTATCATAATACTTAAAAGTAGTTGTAACTGGGTAGTTGATAGTAACCTTACTAGGTTACTTTCTTACCTATATGACCTATTTCACAGATCTTGCGGCCTATGTGATTTAAAAGAAAAAAAATTATGTCATGTATGTCATAAAAAAAAAGAATATTTTGTAAAACATACCATCTTGTTAATAATACAAAATTTCAAAATCTTATTTATTTAAAATTTAGTAAAATAAATTATTTAGCATCATTTATTGCTCAATATTCTGCCTATGATATAGAATTCAGTTTAAGGTTAATATATGAAGATATATATATATATTGAAAAATCAGATAGATGTCATACAAATTGGAATCGGTATTTAATATATAAAAGTGTCACATCTCATAAACCATATGTTTATAACATATATTGGATTAATTTAATTTATATAATTTTAACATTTTTGTGTAAGAATTTAAATAAAAATAAGCAGTTAAAATATTATAGATAAACCAAGAAAAAAAAAAACCTGTATTCCGTAGTAGATATTTAGAAGCGCTAGGTTTAGATTATAAGGGGAACATAGAGGAAAGGAGGTGTGATTTCTTTAAAAAATTGTATAGCGAAGAAAAGGATTGGGGTAAGTTTAAAAATGTCAAATCTAATCGTTAATGGTGTTTATATATATTTTACAACAAGTTATATTTTTACAACAAGTTATATTTTTACAATAAGTTATATTTTAAACAAATTCAACACACCTGTTAGTTTATACAGAGAAAAAAATTAATAAACGATGTTTTATTTTAAACTTCATTTATTTTATAATGCCCATGGGTTAATGTGTGAATACGGTCTTCTAATATAATTCTCTTATCATCATAACTGTTAAATGTAAGTTTATTTGCAAAGATGGTCTTGAGCTGGTGGTGGAACGATCGGATGTAAACATTCTCTATATACACATCCAAGTCATTGTCTCCAAACAGGCACTTCTTGTGATCGTTAAATGTCATATGATTTTTAACGACATGACCCCGGATGCCTTTTGCCTAGATTTTTTCTTGGTGGTCTTTCGGTATGTTAGCCGTGTCCGTACACTCCAGCAGCCCTGGTTTACTCAGCAGGTCAGCGTAAAAATTTTTTAGTCGTAATATAATACACTAATGAATCTGAAAAACAATAATAAAAACAACTACGTCGGAGCCTATGGGCTCTCATGAAATTGATTTTAGAATATTCAGAATCATAGTATCTATAATTATAACTATAGAAGTTAACGTTGGTGTTAAAAATAAGCAGCACCTTATTAAATACTCGAATACCGTGCATTGAGGCCGCTTATCGGGTAAATAATGGTATGCAAACATTGTACATTATCGAACTGTTAATTGTGTTTTAATTTCTTTAATTTGGCACTAGATAATACAATACAATTATTAAAGTAATTCGAATAACTCAGGTTGGCTGACATTATTCATTTTAGAATTATTGCGTTTTGTTTTCAGAATTATCGTGTTAAGTGAGTTTGAAATTTATTTGCGCAGAAATGTGAAATAGGTAATATTTAAATAATACCAGTGGTGGTACAGTGATTGATAATTATGATGGCCACAATAATATTGTAATATAGTTTTTTATTTGGCCGTTGACACACTGTATTTTTCTCCGGGTTTAACAATGGTTGTAGAATTATAGATAATATACAAATTACGGTTGTTCACGATGTGGTTAATACGTCGACGAGGTCACACTGTATACGGCGAGCCAAACAGTTGTAATAAATCGACAGACATCCAATATCAATATCGTAGGTATCTAAAATTTTTTATTTTATTTATCGTTCTGTTATGATTACGTTTTCTGATAAAGTCTTCGTTTTTATAAAGTCCTAATTATTGTTAATTTTATAGGATTTGTATTAATTATTATTTTTCATTTGCGGTATTGATCAAGATGAGTCGTCGCCGAACGCATGACAGTTATGATGATTTATACGGTATGTATCTATAAAATAAAATAAATTCAACTAAAGTAAAGTCGGGATAACACAGTCAAATAATTAATTTAATGTACATGCATGTACATTTTAGAACTTTTTCTTAACTATTTGAAGTTTTGACATAGTTATGTCAAATATCAATAAAAAATATTTGACCTGTGAACCTGATTTAAAAATGTAAGCTACCTATAACAGTACTTCATTAATCAAGAAAAAATTGTCTCTACAAAATATATCCATACCGGTTTAACATCCTCTTAATCTTTTTATAATTATTTCATTTTAATTCCTCAGCTATCAAATTTGTTTTATCAATTTTATGATTGAATATTATATTATGTAGATTATGTATTTTAATGCTTATTAATTATAAGTATTAATTTTTTTAAAAATATAATATAAATAAATAATAATTTGTTTATTTGAAATGTTCAGGGCCAGAGAGAGGATTTAAAAAACGTCGCCGTGGTGGTTCTGAAAGTAACGATTTAGAAGATAGATTAGAAAGTCTTATTCTCAAAGTCGGGGAAAAGGTAAACAAATTAATTATATATTACTGTTCAAAAAAATCAAAATCATGTGTTGACTAATGTTTCAGAAGTCAACCTAATTTAACCTAACATTATTTAATTGGTGTTGTATTTTACCAATTATCTAATATGTTAACACATTTTTAATTACTGCTTTATTTTTTTTTTTTTATGTATAAATAGACCACTAGCACTTTGGAAAGTAATTTGGAAGGTTTAGTTAGTGTGCTTGATAGTGACATGCCAAACTTTAAGAAGAAGGTTCTCAAAATATTGGTGGATTGTGCAATAAATATGCCAGAAAAATGTACAATTTATTCAACATTAGTCGGCTTGCTAAATGCTAAAAATTATAATTTCGGTGGTGAAGTAAGTAAATTTTATACAATCAAAAAAAAATTATAACTATATTTTATATTAGGTGAAATATTAAAAAAAAAAAATTAAGTTCGTAGAAAATATCGTTCGTGCTTTCAAAGATAGCCTAAAAAATAACTCATGGAATGAAGCTAGAGTGGTGTTACGTTTCATTGGTGATTTGGTGAACTGTCATGTTGTGTCAGCCAGTTCTTTTGTACAGTTAATGAGTAGTTTATTAGATGTTGCTAAAGAAGACGGAGTTCCTAATGTACGCAAAGACTGGTAATTATTTGAACATTGAAATTAAAAACTAAACTAATAATATTAAGCAAAATGTTTATTAAACTATAACAGGTATTGTTATGCTGTCATGTCATGTTTACCATGGGTTGGCAGAGAATTGTACGAAAAGAGAGAATCACCTCTTGAAATGCTATTAACTACAATTGAAGTGTATTTGAATAAACGTCCCAAAAAGCACATTAATATGTTGCGAATTTGGTCAACAGATGTACCTCACCCTCAGGAAGAATACTTGGAATGTCTATGGAATCAAATTAAAAAATTGAAACACGATAGCTGGACAGAAACTATTATTCCTAGACCTTATTTAACATTTGATAACGTTTTGTGCGAAGCTCTCCAACATAATCTGCCTGTTATCGCACCACCACCTCATCATAATGCTTGTGTGTATCCAATGCCATGGGTTGTTTATCGTATGTTTGATTATACAGATGTCACTGATGTGAGTAAATAATATAATTAAATTTTTAGTATAAATTTTAGTATTAATTTTATAAAACAATATATTAGGGTCACATTATGCCTGGTGCTCATTCTATTGAAAGATTTTTAGTGGAAGAACATTTACAACAGATAATTGATATGTCAAGCAAAAATAGAAAAGAATGGTAATAACTAAAAGCAATTTTGATATCATAACACTAGTATATAGTATGAATGATTTGATTTGATTTTATTGTTTTCAGTGCAACTAACTTAATGAATTTTGTGCACAAAAACAAAGTTCCTCTAGAGTATTGTATTGTTGAAGTAATATTTGGTTTGATGTTCCATCAACCCAAACCAAAATATTTAGAGGTTATGTTTGGCTCTGTCTTCATAGAATTATCTAAATTGTCAACTAACACTATGCCACTAGTATTGGCTCAGACAACAGAAATTTTATATTCTCGTATAGAATCTATGCATGTATGCGCTTTTGATAGGTACGTTGCGTCTCATCATTAATTATGCTCATTAATATTTTTCCTAATGAAAACATATGTGTTTAGATTTGTATCATGGTTTGCATACCATTTGAGTAATTTTAAATTCAGTTGGTCTTGGCAAGAGTGGGCAGATTGCTTGGCCTTAGATCCAGAACATCCGAAACCAAAATTTGTGCGTGAGGTTCTTCAAAAAGCTATGCGGTATGTACATTTAATTTTTATTAATTTATTGTTTTAATAAAAAATTGTTTTCAGGTTATCATTTTATGAACGCATGCGTGATATAGTTCCACCTGATTTTGAACCTTTGTTACCTCAAAAGCCGGAACCAAAGTTTAAATTTGGAGAAGACAATACATGTAAGGTTTTAAGTTTTGTTTATATAATATTTAAGATAATTATATTAAATTTTTAGCTGCACCGGGTCAATTTTTGTCAAATACTTTACTTGTTAAGATTCGTAACAAGATAACCCCAGAAGAGATAATTGAAGTTTTAAAAGAACCATTAATGTTAGAAAGTGGTGAAATTATAGAACCAGTTGATACTACCCTTTCAAATCCTGTTAAAATTGACGCTTTTGTACAAACACTATTGTTCATTGCCAGTAAGTCATTTTCACATGCATTTGCAGCCATAACAAAATTCATTAATGTATTCAAGGTATGTTTTAATGTCACTTATTGTAGTACAATTAATAAATAAATTAAATATTGTAAAATTGTGTAGGCCTTAGGAGCGACTGATGAAGGCCAATTGCAAATTTTACGAAGCACTTTCGATTTATGGAGTGCTGATCAGCAAATGTTGACTGTACTTATTGACAAGATGTTAAAAACACAAATTATTGAATGTTCATCAGTTGCCAATTGGATATTTTCCAAAGAAATGATTCCTGATTTTACTAAGTAAGATATAATAGTTTGATTATTGTATTTTAGATATTTTTTTTTATGTATATTACTGTTATTAGACTATATATTTGGGACATTTTGTCATTGACTATTAATAAGATGTCCAGACACGTGGATAGACTGACTAGAGAATTAAACGAAGCTAGAGAAAAATTGCGTACAACAGCAACAGCTACTATTAATACTTCAGATGATAGTGACACAGAAACAGATAAAGCCGAAACAAAACCTTCTCGTCCTTCTACAACAACATTTGGCGGACAAGTCCCAATGGATGTAGAGGACAATGTTACTGAAGAAATGGTTGAACGTATGGAAGAAAAATTAGAAATGGCACAAGCTGATCAAAAAAATTTATTTTTGATTGTATTTCAGGTATATTTAAATTTGTTAGGGCTATGAAAAAATATATGTTTTATGATAATTTTTAATTTGTTATTTTAGAGATTCATTATGATATTATCTGAACATTTAGTAAAATGTGATACGGATGGTAAACCTTTTGATACATATTGGTATAAATACACTATTGGACGGCTACAGCAAGTGTTTTTAGCCGTGAGTATTTCATTTTATTCGTAATCCATATTTTTTTCGTTTAATGTCTGGTTTTTCAATGATACACTTATTTACTAGATAGCCTTTTTTTCGGATTAACTCATTTTGTAATCTATTGAGTGATAAATGTTTTTTTTTTATACAAATAATTATATAAAAAGAATGGTTTAAAGCTTCTTTTGCTAAAAAAAAAAAAAAGTAATTAGTGCTGTTGGGACATAACAAAATGTACGTATTTTGGAAAACTAAAAATTGAACAGTGTATCGGGGAAAATAAAAATATTCTTGGGTAATTTCGTTTGATAGTTCAATATTTAATCTATCATTATTTACCTGTCAATTATAATTTACTTTTAAATTAATTAATTTATAAATATAAAAAAAAATATTTACATAAAGTTAATAAATGTAAATACAATTCAGTAGAAAAAGAACATAATATGTTTTGTATTTCATTTCACATTTTTTTAAAACTTAGTGAATAATACACACACACACAGTCAAATATCTATGCAATATGGTATAGATTATTGTTCTGCAGCCTTTTTTACTGTGGTGGCTCCCTCAAAGAATATACAGTTTTTTATTGACTCCTATTTATTGTCTATATTTCAAAATAGTAACCCCTAAGTATATTATATTTTTTAGACATATATAAATTGACTATTAAAAACAAATACTAATTATACAATACTTATGAAAAATAAGTCACCGATATTGCAATAATAACTATAAATATATGTACAACAAATAATAATTTTAAAATATTAATAATTTTTTAATTATGATTTTTAATGGCTTTGTTGTTGTTGCTTTGATTTATTATATATATATATATATATTATATTTATTATTAATAGTAATAATAGTAATAGTAATCTACACCAGTGTTTCTCAATCTGGCGACCCAATTTATATACTCTATTATTTAGGGTACCTAAAAGTGTATTCCAATCAGTAAAAAAAATTAGGAATTTCAATATTGAACCTATTACTTTTTATAGATCATATATTGGACATATAAGGTACATAAAATGTATTGGTGATTATGTAATCAAATTTTAATGTTATGTAACAGAGAACACTAAAATGACAAACCTAAATCACAATTTACAATTACTGTTATCAATATCATTGAAAACAAATGTGCTTAAGGATAAATATTTAAACACTTTTTACATTTATTTTTGTTAATTATTAATTTCTATTTGATCTTGTTTTCAGCATCACGAACAAGTTCAGAAGTACAGCAGTACTCTGGAAGGATTACTTTTCACTCAGGATTTAGACATGCATATACTCGAAGTATTCCATCAATTCTTAGCATTGCGTTCATAAGTACCATTTTATGTTATTATAACATAGTACTATAATAATTATTACAGTTTAATTAAATCCTTATTTCTTTTATTCATAATTAATAATAATTCATATTTTTATAATATCACGACAATAGTTGAGCGAAAAAATACCGTTTTTTATTATAATTCTATATGTAATAATTATATAAAATTATTTTCTCCATAAAATTTTTATGTATAATAAATTTTATACAAAATATTGGTAATATTCATTAGTTTATGATTTATACATTGCCAAAAATTCATTGACATCGTCTTTAGAACCCATAAATACTGGAGTTCTCTGGTGCAACGCTGTAGGCTGTATGTCTAAAATAGGTATTTTGCCGTTACTCGCCACACCACCTGCTTCTTCCATGATATATGCCATTGGGTTTCCTTCGTACAATAGACGCAACTGTTAAACATTAAAATAGATGTTTATTGATTACACAATGATAAAAATGGCCTCGAGCAATACACAATTGACAGTGTTATTAGTAGTAGTACCTTGCCATTTGGCGATAGTTTTGTAGCTGGGTACATAAATATACCTCCATATTTCAGAGTACGGTGCACATCTGCAACCATAGAACCAATGTACCTGGCACCGTATGGTTTTCCAAACTAAAAAAAATTCAAAATAAAGTTTGTTATATAGGTGAACAATCAGTACATTGTTGGAACAAAGGCAATTACCGCAGGATCTTTTTTCCTTCTAATGTATTCAGACACAGTGTCATCCCATATATAGGAATACCCTTCATTTATGCTGTAGATGTTTCCTTTTGTAGGTATCTGTATGTTGCTTTCAGTTAATAAAAACTCTCCAATTGCCTATAACAAAAATATGCATGTATGAGTAGTTGTTATTAGAGAAGCAAAATTAGTTGTTGTAACAAATCATATTAATTTTGAATGAATACAAATTTAAAGTGATAGTTAACTTTAAATTATTTAATCATATAAAAAAATATGCTGGAAGTTATGTATTTTTGTGATAATCAGTAGATTACCTAAAATTTAACTAAAACTTTTTTTTATATAATTTTGTATAATTTGCTCTTCTACGGAATAGTATATGGTTTTTTATGATTAAAACAATATATGGAATAATTGACATAGTATTAATCTAGTAATTCACTTTACCGGATCCAACATGAACCCATTGACACCACTCCCATTGCCCAACGTTAAAACCATCATGGTGGCACTACCATAAAGCGCGTAACCCGCGGCCACCATATTCCTTCCAGGTTGCAAGGTGTTTTTGATGTTGGTTTCATTGCTTGCTTCGGTTTTTCTGTACAAAACAAAAGTTTTCGAATAATATTCTCGGGGAAAAATACAATATCCTCTGTCTGATACAATGACTTATTTTAAAATCCATACATGTTACCTATATAATATACTTTATAGCTATGCAATGTAATATTTTGTATTTTATAACCAATACACGGATAGAAAATTTGTTTTAAATGTTGATTGAGATTTACACCTTGATTTTCAGTTTGAAAAAACCAGAGCACGTTATCTGAGTATAATTTGAGAAAATATAATAATATGCCTTGGGAGGTGTCTAATAATAATTGTAGCCTACTGATTTAAATTATTTTCGTTCTGTTGAATTTTTGTTTTGTTTTAATTTCAAATTGTATTCACTTTATAACACGCCTGCCAATGTTTATTTATTAGATTAAAACTAAAAAATTATCTATTCAATTTTAACTGTTGTTAATTTACAATGCCGATTTTTTGACATTGAAACCGGGAACATGTTTATTTTTTAACAATTTTGCGACACTATACGTTGTATTGAATACGACAGCCTCATTTATTTTAATAATACCATTCCGTCGATTTTTCGTGTAGGCTTTGAAAAATTGTAATGTGTAGTGGATATAGGTACGCTAAAATATTTCTAGAAAAAAAATACTGTTCCCCTCCCCCAATTCAAGTACTGTATGCGTCAGGAGTACGGGGACGTACTTGAATATTCCGAAAATCGATCCTATGGAACCGAGGCAGTCGATATTGGACGATCCGTCCAGAGGGTCAAAACACACGATGTATTTACCCCGTTTGTCAGTCTCAATCTGAAAAAAACAAAACAAATCCTCAAAAACACTGTGAATACTATCGCGTTTTCATTCAACGGTTTTGATTTTTTTCCTGAACCTTATACTATAGTATTATACATTATGTATAATTTAAAAGCTTAAAAAAAAAAAAATGAATGTTTTTTTTTATTCTAAATTCAATCAATAACAATTTTATTATTATTATTTTTATTTTTCACCAAAAACAATTATCTGCAATTGTTCATTTTACAAATCGATTATTTAAACCGTAAAGTGAAGAGAAATTAAATTTATTGTACAAACTACGGGTAATTTATTGTTTTAGATTCTGAGTGGAGCGAGGAATATATTGGTTTTACAATGGTGTTTATATTTTTTTTTTCTGTGGATTACATTTCTACCAGCAATCTTGCTCCGATTTACAACGACAGCACATATTTCTAAAAGTAAATCTGACTAGGGAGGTCATTTTTTGATATTCTCAGGAGTTTTCCCAATAAATGGGAAAACGGAGAAATAACTGGAAAATAGGTACCTATTGTGTTGAACAAATATTATTAAAGAAAATATTATATACAATGCATATAGAATTATTTTACCATAATATGACATGTATATTGTTGACAAAGCAACACTATCAACCGAACTCCGCTCAGAATCGTTTTATCGTTAGCAATGCAAAACCGTTGCACACAGATATACATTGAATTTCCCTTCTAGTACTTTCCCAACTTATCACTTGCAATAGCGACCCACCCACGAGCGAAGTATGCCCGTCTCTTTTAGATCGTTATCATTATGACGGTAACCAATTTGCTCCCTATGCGGGGGAGTAAGATTAATAAAATAAAATCCATTTTGAGTGAGTGCCGCCCATCAACTAAATACTAAACCAAGGCGGTTCTACCCGTGGCCCTCTGAGTTTTTTTTTGCCCCCCCCCTCACAGTTAAATTCATTATTATTTTTTTATTAATTAAAAATTAAAGTCACAATAGTCAATAATATTATAACAAAATCGTAATATGATCGTAGACATTTTACGTTTTATAGTTTATACTATAAAACGTAGGAATACGGGAATATCAATCCGTAATGTGGTAATTTGTGCATTATAAAATATCACTTTTTTTTTCTTTTTTCTTTTTTTTTTTTGGCCGCTCCCATTGTTTTTGTAAAAGTGAAAATTGGCCCACCAACTACAGAAGGTTGGACACCACCCTGTATTAAACAATAATTTCAACGTTATACGATTAAAGTTTTATATTATTTTGTTCTTGAGTTCGGTAAACTTCGTCCGCGTAATGCCGTAACGCGCAGGTAATATTATCGCCGTAAACAACTTCGCGAAATTTGTGCTGCGGATGATGGGCAACGACCGAGCGGTTATCGCGCTGCCGGGCTACCCGAATAATATTCTCACCTCTATCACAGTCTCGTTCTCTTCGCTGACCATCATGTGGACCGTATACGACGACGCCAACATGTTGACGAAAAGCTCGTTGCTGAGCACGTCCAACTTTTTGACTTCTTCGCCTTGCACGTTTGTCGACCCGGCCATGCCGTGCCTGTGCGGAATAAATTGACGAATGTAATTTTCTCGCATAGAATACCGCGAACAAAAAGACTATGACGTTTTTTTCTCGCTTGTTAAGTAATTTTTTAACGGACGGCAGTGGCGTACCGATAAGGTAGCGTTACGGGCAGTGACACGGTCCCACGGGCCCGTGACATTTAGGAGCCCCGAGTCAGGGCCCGAAGTATTATTTTTCGGTGAATGGACAGTTGAACAAAAAACAAGCGATGCTCATTGTTTGGTTTATTAAGTAACACGAGTAAACAGACATGTGTATGAAAACAGACAGTGGTCTTTTTCCCTTTTTTTGCTCAAAACTGTGTTAATTGGGTCTCAATTCGGATTGTGCACTTGGTCAGGGCTGGTGTTAGCAATTATCGAGGGAGGTTGGGAGTGTACATACACAATTTTTTTTTTTTTCTTGTTTTTTTGTTATGTTTCAAGATATTTTAGACAAAAATTTTACATAGCTTTTGTTTTTTAAAGTGGCGGTTTTGTTTTAGGTACTGCCGTGGAGCATTTTATGTCGTGGGATATTTTGCCACGGGCATTGGGAGTTCTAGTTACATCACTGGCGGACGGACAAGTGTATGAAAACAGCCGATGACTTTTTTTTATTTCTTTTGCTCCAATCAGTGCAATAAATCGGGCCTCAATTCGGACAGTGCACTTGGACCCCAATTAGATTAATATTTTACCACACGGGTATTAGAAGTTTTAGTTATGCCACTGAATTTACATTGTCTACGAAGATATTGTATTCAAAGAACAAATACGATGTTTATTAAAACCGATCTCATATTTGCAATAATATTTCGAAATGATTCCCTTATTTCATGTATACGCCGTGGTAAAAGTAGGAAAGGGGAACGGAGTGGCTCTTTTTAATAAACTAACGTAAATTTATCGGTACCTATTAGTTTTGAAGTTTTTGAAGTCCGGGAGGACGCTTTAGTTACTGTAACTGAGACGTTTTTAATGCGATTTGAAAAACTCGAATTAGTTTTAATGAATATCAATACATAAAAATAAAATTTGTTTTATTTTATTTTTACTGAGCGGGCATATGCGTAGGGTAATATTTGTGGGAGGGTGTAGTTTAAATTTAAACCCTATTAGTATAATATTTTTACGAAGAAATGCGTGTGTGGGAAAACATTTTGGAGGCCTTATTGTTTCCATAACGGCTTTCTCGAAAGTTTGGTTAGGTTTAGTTCGTACTCGGGGACGCCTTCAATTTTCTGTAAATATAGTCCGGGCTTCAAAGTTTTTTAACCACTGCGCACACCGTAAATACGCATTATATTTGCGTTTGTAGTACTATATTGATTTTCAAAATGTAAATAGCAACCAATATTTTGCTTAATCTACGATGCGAAAATGTTCTAAAATAAATCACATTGTGTGTGTAATATTCAGATGCGCATCGATGAGCTTGCGTTGAATCCAAAGAAATTAGAATTAATTTTATGAAAATATACTTTTTCTAATTATTTAAATTATTAATGTAAATGGTATGAAATATGTTTGGAATTAAAAAAAAAAAAAAAACAAAATTGTATGAAAGCCTGGCTGTCTAATTATTTGGCACATTTTTTTTGGGGTGGGGAGGGAGGGCGTGGGGCGTAAAATACTGAATGCGCCACTGTCAAGAAGCCGTTAGTTTTACTGTAATTTAATATTATGTGCACTGCCTAACCCATACTTAACATTATCGGCTCATCGTGCTCCGCTCGGAATCGTTTTCCAATTCAAACGTCGATTTCGGTATTTCGGTTATTGCCTACCCTTTACAATCCTACACCATCACCGTCGAAAATCTCCCGGCCGCGACCCGTCAGATATGACTGCGGATTTTTTTTTTTTTTATTCGGTTTTTCTTATACCGTCGCGGAATACTTACAGGTGTCCCAGACCGGCTTTGCGGACGGCCGAGCTGACCGCCTTGATGGCCGTCTGGATGCTGGTCAACAGCTGCGTTAAGTCGCCGGTGGCGAACGGCACTTTCTTCTGTTCGGCCAACACGAACCGAGTGAGCGTCATGCAGTTGGAATCGAACTCCGGCGGTTCGTATTGCTGTGACGCCATCTTGTCGGCTGACGGCCGCTTGGACAACTGGACGACGGTATCTGCGCGCAAAACGTCAATATAGTTGACGGCGATTCGTACCGCGTACGCGCGCACAA